GCGAACCAAAGCGACACCAATCCTGTTTTTAATGACTAAGTACCAAACATTGACGCCCCAAAAACCATCTGGCGTGGATGATTTAATTGGCAAACACTAACACCAGGAGAAGGGCTATTGAAGCCACGTCAAACTTTGCTCAACACCCAACTCTCATGGCATTCGAGAGAGCGACTAACAAATGAAGAAATACTACGCTTGAGCGTTACCTATGGTCTCGTCTATGGCAAACCTTACATGCGTAAACAATCATCGCCTCCACCGTGACCCTAGACAGCCAGATAGGGGTGTTGAGGTGAGGAAAAGAGCTAAGAGTGTTAGCTCCGTTAACCCAATTTGGATTACGTAGTATATTAAATGGCTTTCCATTGGAGCGAATGTTCTTACTGATGTCGATTACCTTATGAAATGTTTGATGTGAAAAGCCGCCTGGCCAGCGAATTGCCCTTCTCCAAAACTCCGTCTCCTTAGTTCGTAAGTGGTTATTACTGCGCCAACCACATTGTGATAACGAGCTCCGGAGGCGATGCTCGAAAGGAGGGAACCGGCAGCCATTCGAGATTCATTTAACTGTATACTTTAATTATACGACTCCTCCAGTCTCTACAAGTTATAATTTTATTTGGAAATATGGCTATCCGGCCAAGCCCATATTCCCTCAGCCTTTTTGTATGTTAATTGTGCTTTTTTCATACTGGCGTGGCTCATTATAACTTCAGAGAAAACCCGAGGTGTTACATGAGATCCTACCCGTGTTAACTAAGGGGTAGTGTCAGTGAACCCACTCCAAAACAATAGTTGTGCCGACTTCACTGACTGAGCGGAACGTCAAGCAGTGGCAGAGGTAAGACACCTGCTGTAGATGAGTAAATCCGCAGGAATTCAAGACAGAAGATCCATCAAAGTACTATGGACTTTTGGCGATCACATCAATCTCAGCTACTTCAAAGCGGGTAATACTGAAGAGCGATAAGGTTTGCATGAAAAGAAAATGTGTACTTAAATACTTTTTTATGACCTGATGCCCTTACGTCTTGCAACATAGATAGGCAGTTGAATGACAGCGAAATGACATGGTAATGGAAAGAAAGAATAAAAACATGATGCAGCGTTAAGCAGACACATTTTATTTTTAAGTAATTAATTTTGCCTTCAAGGCCTATCGTTTCGTTCAAGTCTTCTCAAGATAATGATAAATTAGTGCATAACACAAATATCCCATGATGATTGAGGTGGATGAGCAGCCACGGGAAGCGTCAAGGACGAGGAGCGTAACAGGATGGAAGTGCTGCCAGCTAGGCGTTTTAAGCCTCTCAACTCATGCCATCAGTAACAGTCAATCATTGTTGGGAATATCTGCAACCCCAGAAAATATCCCTGTTTTTATTCCCTAGAAGGATTCCTTTTCTTTCCTAGTTTCCGAACACTCTCCAACGCTCTCGTTCAATTCTCCCGATTGGCCAATATCAGAAACAGGTGGACTTTGAAGGTGCTAATAAATATTAATTGCTACAACCAGTTGAAATGCCAAGAGGACCACCTCGTGTCTTCAACAGTGAACCAGCAGTCACACACGCGTCGTACCCAGCTTACTCATTTTGATCAGTAAAGAAAGACGTTTACATCGAAGCCCTAACCTCTTGGTAACTTTAGAAGGTAATTTGCCAGGACCGAGCTTATGCATATAAATAATAATGAAAAGATTCTCAGATGTACATAACATTTGATATCTTAAAGAAGTAATCAGCTAACCTTCTGGGAAGGTGTGACACGACAGCAGATGACACTGGAGCAGATACGTGCCAATTTGATGAAGATCTCCTTAGTTTTCTCTTCCAAAACGAAAGGCAGACATACAGAGTCAAGTATGAGAGCAACACCCTCTTGAGGCATATCCACAGCCACCTCATTGTCGAATATCGAGACGGAGGGAAAGGGTCGATGCAGAACAGCTTCTAGTCCATCTTCGACTGCAGACAGGCGCGATCTCTTTCGAATCGACGGCGAAGCCAGGTAATTGGACGTCGGATCTGCCATATTAGAATCAGGTAGCAAATCCACCAGAAAGTTTTCTAGCTGGCACTTTGCCTCCTCCTACAAACAAATCAAGTAAACGATTAGCTTCCTTTCGACGTGATTCACTGGGAATCCATTCGCGAAGCTTTGAAGAGGAAGGGAGAGACTCACTGCAGTGGTTGCAGAGAGAACCAGTACCCTCTGATTCTCAGTGATGAGTTTTGCGGCGTACGCGATGCTAGTAGCGGTCTCCTGTTTATCCCCAGTAAGCACCCACACCTTCATGCCAGCCTCGCGGAGTGCTGCGATAGTCTCTGGTACACCCTCCTGTAGACTGTCTTCTATACCCGTAGCACCTAAAACGTAGCAGCGTCTTCATTTAACCTCCACACGCTTTTGGCCACAATTTTTATCGAACAGCCACAGTTAAGTAAAAGGACATGCTACCGTACTAATAAATACCTATTACTAATCCTTATAGCCAGACGACGTTGCATTGTAGGTGGGCTAGTCCATACACCGTTCACCGAGACAGAAAGCAGCAGAACTAGTTAGAACGTGCAAGCAAGAGCGTGTCATTACGAACGAAATGTCTTGGCTACAAGAACAAAAGTGTACAGTTGTAAAGCGTGGATACTCACACCTGACCATACCCACTACTGATGACATCAAGTACACTGAGTCACCATGCATTGAGGAAACGCCCAGCTACAGGGAGACCCTTGACTAAATGGTGTCAAATTGCTGCCTCCGGCTGCCAGTGATAAACCCAATCATGATGGTGGCTAGGACACCAAAGCCACCTATGTTATTGTGGAGTAGTTGTCTAGAGCGAGACGCTTGATCATTGCCTAAATCAGCTGTAATATGACGAAATTCCGTGATAGGTGGGTAGTGAACTTCATAAATTTCACCTAGAGGCTAGTTGTACGTAACCTTATTCTAACCACCTATTTATTGGCTCATCTCTTCAATCTAATACACCTTAAAGGGTCTGTAGAGGTGATTCGTCTAGTACTAATTTCTACACAGCCAACAAATAAGTCAGACTCAAGAAACAGTGAGAGTAAATACCCAGTAATTCCAAATTGACTTCAATGTCCTCCATCAACTTGTACTTCAATTCCTCGGACCGAAGATAGTCCTGTTCAGCTAATGACCATGCAGCAGCCCACCGTTGATACTCCGACTCCGAAATTACCTAGAAGGATGGAGAAGGGTAGGAAATACGTCTCACTTGTGGTGAATTTTTATAGGAGTATTCTTCGTTAAGGTGACTACTTAAATCAAGGTGTAGAAAAAAGTAGATGCGGTAGGTAGATTTTCTGGTTACACCACCCACTTCCCTCCCCCACAGTTGGCTTGCGGTAATGATAAATGCTTTTAGCTACCTGACTCCACGATCTTCGCACTGCTCATGGTGCTCATCTCCCAGCAGCTCTGTATACTAATTACGAGACTCCACCCAGATTAATATGCGCTGAAGATCGACAAAAGAAGGCATA